GATGTAGCATTTCACCCGAGAGCTGGTTGTGTTTCAATCCTGGATAAAGTGGTTCCTGTAAATAAGGCTTGCAAAATGCTTTCTGTCTGAACAAAACTATGGGCCAGTTTTTATTACATGCTATTATTATAATTATAGGATCTTCTGCTTAATCAGGATGTGCTTAATTAGGATAGCCATTTAATTGGGACATCTCCCAAGGAACCAATTTAGCTTAATGTTATTAGTACTATCTAATCAGGGCAGCTTAGGAAAAAAATTTTGCTTTTAAAAAATAAGACCCCAGCAGAGGAAAAAAGATAAGCTGACGTTTTGCTGGTCTGATGTATCCAGTCCATGCCCTAAGGGTTTGGATTGCAGCACTGCCTGAGCAGCTGTAGGGATGGTCTCCTTAAAGTAGCAGCAGACATGCACCATCCTTCTCCTGTAGAAGTACCAGACATGGCCTTCACTCCTGCTGTTGGCTGCCGTGTCCTTACACCAGAATATCCTGGTAAATGAGCCTCAGGAACTTCATGTTGTACCCAATGGGGGGGAAAGTCTCTGATAAATATAAACAGCAAAGCAGAAAATGCCACTGCAACTTAATAATGGAGGTATTTGTGAGGTTATGAAATAAAGCAACAAGTATCAGGTCTTAAAAGGAGAGATGTTCAAAGGTCCCCAATGAAACTGTTTGTCACTGAGCTTTTGTTCATACTGTGGTGAAAAAAAAATATCTATCTGTTCTATCTTGGGTTTTGAAGTTAATGTTACTGTGGTTATACATTCAGCATTGCCCAAGATATCACCACCAAACAAAATCTGCTCTTGTAAGGAAGAATAGAATTGTGCAAGTTAGGCCTAAATTTCAAGAAGAATTTCAAAGGTACTGTCTTCTGTGATCAAACATAAGACTCTGTCTTGGCCTGTGAGCTAATGTGATCCCAGATAGCTGCAGGCTCAAATTGCCTGAACTAGGGCTGAATTTGAGGTTTCAAACACTGGTGAGAAAACTGGAGTGGGAATAACAAAGTAGGGGACAGACTTCAGTTAACGTAAATCAGTGTCATCCCGTTCTAAGTGGTGCAGATGTACTGGTCTTCATGTGATGAAGCTTGTAGCTTAAGATAGTGAGATGAAGTAGGTGTTTGTGCAAAGTGGGAGCACTGGAACAAGGTTTCTCGGAGAGGTGGTGGAATCTCCATCCATGGAGTTATTCGAAACCCATCGGGACATAGTCCAGGGTAACTTGCTTATGGTGACCCTGATTGAGCTCAGGGGTTAGATGAGATGACCTCAAGAGATCCCTTCCAAACTCAGCTGCTCTGTGGTTCTGTGAAGGTTCTGACCACACTCCCCTCAGTGTGGGTGAAGGATGAATCCAGAGCTGAAGGTTTAACTAGGCACGATGTTGACTTTGGTGATGGTGGCTTAAGAAATCCCAGTCCCCAACATTCCCCCTCCTCTGCCTTTTCCCATGCTGCAAGGTCAGGGTCTCTTTACTTGTGGCGATACAACTATTTATAGGGCCACAGCATTAACTGGATCAATGATAAGACAAGATTAAAAATAACAATTTTCTTTTTTTTTTTAGAGTGTTTATTTTTTTTGAGAGTTATTTTTAAATGCATGTCAGGTCAGCTATCCAGTTCCCAGCTCTGCTGGGACGTACTGTCACAGTACATGAGATGATGAACAAGTGGATGGGGAGAAAGCTGGGAAGAGACCGGAATGATATCTGGATCCAACATGTTGTATAATTGCACACTGACTTACATTGTCTCTTGGTGAAAGCAGGAATAGCTGTTACTTGATGTTAATGAATTAAAAACAGAATCAGGTCTCTATCTTCAGCTGAGCATACCTCTTGGGTAGTCTTCATATGGGGACAGGTAGAGCGTATCAACCCAGGTGTGCTTTCTTTAGGTGCAGTTGAGGAGGTCTAACAGTTAACCAAATAAGAATTAATATTGTCTGAAAGTATATCCAGCAAGTTTTGCACAGGTACATGTTCCTCAGGGGCTGGATGGCTCATTAGTACGACAGAGCTTGCAAGAGGTGAACTCATTCAAACTAAGTTAATTATAAAACCAAGTGACTCCCCAAGAAGAACTGTTCTAATTGTGTGAGTGCCTATCCTTATTCAGGTCACCTTGTGCAGCCCCATCTCCTTTCCAGTGCTCCTACTCCCTGAGTCTCTTCTGGATTGAAGATGCTGGGGCTGCAGTTTTTAGAGGCTCAGGTACAATTAAGATGGAAGCAGTTTATTGATTAGTGTGTTGGTGTGGGACTGGCTCCAACATCTGCTCAGTTACAGGCTCCCTCTGTGACTTTGGCACATCACCTTGGAACTGAATTTACTATCACTGGATTGGGGACAGGTTGAGACATTTGGGGTTGTTCAGCCTGGAGAAGAGAAGGCTCCAGGGAGACCTTAAAGCCCCTTCATGTACCTAAAGGGGCTCCAGGAAAGACAGGGAGGGACACTTTATCAGGGAGTGGAGTGATATGATGAGAGGTAATGGTTTTAAACTGAAAGAGGGGAGATTTAGATTAGACATCAGGAAGAAATTCTTTGCTGTGAGGGTGGTGAGACCCTGGAAGAGGTTGCCCAGAGAAGCTGTGGCTGCCCCATCCCTGGAGGGGTTCAAGGCCAGGCTGGATGGGGCTTGGAGCAACCTGGTCTGGTGGGAGGTGTCCCTGCCCAGGGCAGGGGGTTGGAACTTGATGGTCCAAGATGAGATCCTCAGAAGTCTCCCTGACCTTAGACTTCTGCATTGTGCCACTTCATTGGCACACCTGAAATCCTGCTGTGACCATGTCCAGAACCCTCTGGGTGTCATCACCACCAGTGGGAAGGTGAAGGGCTTGGTCCCTGCTGCTGTTGGCAGAGCAGGAGCTACCCAGACTGTGCTTCCCCAAAGGCCTTCTCCATTTGATGTGCATCAGCAGCTTGGGCAAGGCAATAGCCTTCCCTTGAACTCATTTTAAAAAAAAAATTATCTACCTGTGTCTTCAGGGCTCTGGGAAGAGAAAGATAAGGTGCAAACATATATAGTTTGTTAGTGCATTCTGTTCCCAAGAGTTAATGACCTGCACATCATTGCTGTCTCATGTGGCAAAGAGCAGGTGCTCTGTGTGCTTGGGGCATGTAGGAAAAAAACCCAGTGGTGTCCAAGTCAGTCTCCTCCAGCTGGAAATGGAGTCCTGTGTGGCCTGCACTTAACTTCTGTGCACCATGATGGCACTGGGAGGCCTGGGACTCCTCCTGGGAGATGCTGCTGGTAGTTACTCACAATAAATGCATGTTAAGGGAGGATGCAGCACAGAGATTCTTTCCTGACAGAGCAGTGATTTGCAAACCTTAAAACACTTGACAGTGTGATCCTGAATGGGTATTATGAATGCTGTTTTAAAATAAGTTTGCTAAAGAATGGATGTTCCTGGAAGCTGGTACTACTTACTGGCCCCATACCTCTTATTAGCTTTTATTTGGTTATAAAAGGAAATATTAAACATAATTTGCTCTTAGTATAAAATGGGAGATTGCCACTGATAAGCACACTTAAAATAAGCATCACAGTGGTTATTTTCATTCCCTAAATATAATAACAGACTGTGGAGACAAAAATGAATGCAGCCAGTCCAGCCAATGGCTGAATCATAACAGCAGCATCAATTGATTTGTTTCCAGGTCTAAAAAAAAAACTAATAAAGATTTTACGTAATCTCCTAGGTACAAGAGGATTAAGGTTAATGTCTTAAATCTGTTCCTTATGCTCTGTACGCACAGATGCCTGCTGCTGCCTCTTTCATGTGAATTCTATTTGTAAAAGTGAGACTGAGTTAGGCTGCTTCAGATAAAGGCACGTTCCGTCTTATTATATTTAAGAGAAGCTATTAGCTGTCCTGTACTGCACAAAATCACACCACTCACAACCCAGTCACAATAGTGTTTTTGTGTGCTTTACAGTGTTTATCATTACTATATTGTTTCTTTATGTTCTTTCCAGTGAAGTGAATGCATTAACTGAGGCAGTACTGTGGAGTAGCAAGTCTCAAACCAAGCTACTTCTGTTCCTGACATAGTTTCAAGTGAACAATTTTATTTTTTTTACTGCATCCAACCTGTTTGCAGAACAAGGGACTGTTTTTCATCCTTGTATGGTGTTGCTTGGAAATTGTCAAAATAGAAAAGTGGATTTTCGTAGCGAAGGGTTTTTAAAATGTGTACTGTACTCTTGTTTTGTGGCAAAAACCCCAGAAATTATATGGACATGTGATTCATCTTATATATATTTTAATCCTGGAATGTTTTGCATATTTTTTCAAGAGATTGTGGTTTGTGGAAACGTTTTGAAGCGTAGATCTTCATTGTCCCCACTTAAAGCTTAACCTTTGCAAATCGGGAATGGGGTGTATTGATGTTGCAGTGCAAAGGACTGAGCGGGTGCTGGATCAGGGGCTTGTTTGCAAATTGTTCTGCCTCTTGCTCTGAGCACAGCTAGAACACTTCCTTTTGTTTCAGCCAAATAATTCCCTGCTTCCTCCCCACAAATAGTGAGATACTCCTTATTTAGGACTTCTCTGCTTTCTCTCTCTCTGACTCACCCAGACATAGAAATGCTGCCCCGGAGCTTTCCCTTGCCATGTGTGGGGAATATACTCATCCTGCTAAGACCCATGTTTCATAGCCTATTTCTGAAGGAAAGGAACTATGTTAGCAGTTTTTAGGTTTAGTAGCGGATCTTCTGGCAATTTGCATCATAGTTGCTATTGAACAAAGTGTTTTCTCTCATATGGGATGAATATTATAGCACTACTTAACTGCCCGTTTTTAATAAATGAGTGGTAGGGTCTCATGAACTTAAGTTCTAAAAAAAAATCTCTGGAAATTCATTTCATCCCAGGTTTCCATTATATAATCTCTGCACTGCTACTGGACTTCATGTTATCTAAGCATTTATTAAAAGGACAACAAAACAATTCTGAATAAGGTCTAATGAGCATTGTCTGGCAGGAAAAAGGTTATACAAAAGTATAAATCTCAGGCTTATTCTACTTACGACTTCTTGAGTTTCAAAAAGTGCCTCTGTAAAGCACACTGAGCAAGTGAGGGAAGGTCTTAAAAGCTATGTGGATGCTCATAAAATATAAACCCAGACGAGCCGTGGTGCTAAGCAGCAACAATTTCCATGGAAATCCATACTGGCCTGAAAATCATGCCAGTGTTTCATGAATTAGAAATTTTGGAGAGAATGGCCTGTAATGAAACATCAGTTTCCTGTGCAATCAGGGAAGTCTGTGAAGGTGAGCTGAATCTTGGCATCAAAATATTTGGATGCTTTACACTGAATTTTTGGTACTTCACCTTCCCTCTCCTCCTCAGCTGCCTGTGCTGCACCATCATCCTTAGGACTAATGCCTGAAGCCATTCATCCTTCATATATCAATGGCTCTTATAGTACAGGATAACTTGTTTTCTCTTCATAAACACTAGTTGAGAACTAAATTTTATGTGCTTTATACTGTGAATAGCATTATGCACTTCACATAAGCAGGCGCAGAGTGAAGCAACACAGGTGATATTATTTTTATTAAACTCCTCACAGGATGCCACTTATACCACAGCAATAAGGTGTTTTCCTGCTCTATAAACCCTACTGTCATCTTACAACACGTCACAAGAGGTGAGATTTATAAAAAGATATTAAAGAAAAAAAATAGTCAGGATAAGGTCTTAGAATTGTATGAATTCATTATTTACACAAATCCTGCATGTTACATGGCTTTGTAAAGAGCATACTCGAAAGCATCACTGTACACAATGAACACCAAAATGCTTGATCCTTCTTAGGTGTGAACCTTTTTTGTTATTTACGAAAGGGTAAGACACATGTGAGCTGTTTCTGTTCTGTTACCCTCTGCTGGGACTGAAGAGCCACAGCCCCCTCTTGGTTGCATTAAAGCCTCAAAGTGACAAATAAAAGGGCTCTTTTGACCATAATTGCATCCAGCCTTGTGCCTTTGCCTTCAAAGGGAACAATTGCTAGAGCAGTGCTTAAAAAACAGGCAGCATGATGTCCTCTACTGCATTTCTGCCCAGCTGCGTGAGCCTTGATGTCCACACAGAGAGAAGTGGTGACAAAGGCAACTTCCCTCTGACAGCTCTTTGTGACAGCAGGATGTGTCCTGCTTTGGGCAAGGATGCCTACTGTGGAAATAAAAACAGGGTTTACACATGGCATAGATATTTAGTCTTTTGGAATTTAGATTTTTTTTTTTTTTCCTGGGTTTACTCTAATGTTTATTTAGTTACCTGGGGAATTTCAGAGGTTGCAAAACGCGTACCCTCAGGATGGAATGTGAGTCGCTGGACAGGCAGCAGCTGGTGGGGAGTTCTGAGGATCTGCAGTTTTGCAGTTAAGAGGTATGGGGGCGGTTTGGGGGCTTTTAGTGTTCAAATCCTTTAGTTCATCCAGTTCAAAGTCCTGTTCGCAATAAACAGTACTTGACTCCAAACTTGACACTTCCCTTAATCACGAGAGGAAGATACATCTCTTTGTGTGGGTCTGGGTTAGGGTACAGTTGGGATCTGCTCGCTTCGTACATTTACTTGTGATCACAGACACAAATGGCCACGTGAATTACAGTTACACTAAGAATTAACTGTATTTCACTAATATTTCTACCCTTTGCAGGAAGAATTGGGACCCAATGCTCAGCGCAAATGCCCAGCCCTAGTGGAGGTTCCTGACATACTCTAAGGTTTCTATCAAAAAGCGACAATGGAAGTACAAATTCTAAAGGTAATTGTGATTCCATTTAAGACACTGGTGCTTGAGACTTTGTATACTTAAGATCATAAATCAGATAATCTTCTATGTTCATGTGTAGCAGAGTAGTCTCACAATAGCTTGGCATGCATCTTAATTAAATGTTGGAATTATAACAAATGCAGGGAACAGGCAGAATTCCTCAAGGCTACTTGGACAACATTGATCCTAAATACAAAAAACACTACGAAGTGTAAGCAGTATTTAAACCTCCTAACAATACGACACAGTTTTGCTATCAATTGAGTTGATGAGGAGGAGTCACTGTATTTTGTACTACTCAGCATCGCGTGGTTGTTTCAGTTACAGTAGGGAATTCCACACTGCAGATAAGGTAAAACAGGAGTCCTCTTGTTCTGTGTCTCTAGTAGACTCAATGTCCAGTCTAGAAATGGCATACACACAAATGAAGAGAAACAATTTCTCATCACGCTGTGGCAAGTAACAAAATAAAAAAAGAAAGTAGAAGTCCACTTGACAGAAGCAAAAAATGTCTTGTCAGATAATTGAGGAAGATACAAAAGGTAATCTCAGGTGAAGTGTCTTACTGAGATACGCAGGCTCTGCCCAGGAGCAGAAGGGTGGCTGCACAAAAGTGCCTTCTGCCTTAAGGCTCCACACACAAGAATTCAAGTCCAAACTTGAAGCTTTGCCACTGATTTCTGTGCCCCCAGCCCATGGCAAGGGATTAACTCCTGCTTCTGCCAGCTGAGGGGATGATCTCATACCTGTTGGTAGCTCTTGCCTTCAGGTACTCTGTCCAATACCCATATTGTCAGACCACAGCATGGGAAGAATCTTTTCCTCACCTAATTATTTACCAATCTGTCTAATCAGAGGGCTTCCAGCTAAGGGTTTTCCAGCTCTGCATAACCATACATTGGATAGCTTTAACTCAATGCAAACTCATCGTCTCCATGCTTATCATGGCATCATTCCAGTTGGAAGTTACCTCGGGTGGTTACCTAGTACACTCTTCTGCTAAAGTTAATTTAACAACTCCGATCAGAATATGCTTCCATATTTCTTTAGCATTGACCTGGTTGAGCTACTTTTTACGCTTGCTGCCTTACTGGGTTTTTAATTCTTTCCTCAGTATGGGCTGCTCGGATGTGCTTGCTTCTTGGTTTCTCAGTCACTGAGCAATGTCTCCAGCTCCAGAGGTTAAAATGAGTTTATGGTTTGTAGGTTTCGTGGACAAAGATTAAAAATACTACAGACGTGAAAAAGCGTGACCCTCACTTTAGTACAGCAATTGACAATACTACGTATTTACATGTAGTTTGGCTTCAAGGTATGTGTCTCTACCCGAACTGGATGCCAGTTGTGTATTTTCTTTGGCCTTCTCCTGACTAGATGGAACTTCAGCTTTGCCTCTGTGACTGATGCCAGTGAGTGGCACTGGTATCTGACATTTGGTTTTATTTTAATGGGAAACTGGAAGCCTCCGTGCGTGTGCTTATTCCTTTGGGAGTGTACCCCTTCTGACACCGTTTCTACAAACATGTTTTCATGCCTGTTCTGAATGAGATGCCTTGTGGTTAAAGTACCCAGAAGCTGCTGAAGCAGAAGTGACATCTTGCTGCCAAGACCTTGAACAACTCCAGCAACCCAGCCTCCTTGTGCCACCATGGCACACAGTTTTAGCCTTGCAGAGCCTTGTGACTGACCGCAGCAGGAATTAAAACATCAGGCTAGTTTCCCTGTAGATTTACAACTGTTTTTCATTTGCTTAAAAATAGCACTGAGTGTGATCTCAATGTGTTTTAAGAGTTTAATCCACTTTCGTTTGCCACCATCCCTCAGTGTGTAACTGTTTTCTTTACATACTGGGGCCGTAGTTCTGTGTCCCCGCTCGCAGAGGCAACGGCTCTTCACAAGCCTGTATGACACAAGTTTCATACAAGCATCCAGTTGCTTGACGTGAACTAGATCTGCTGAAAGTTTACAGCTGCCTAAAGGGGTGTGAGAGTTGATTAAAGCACAAAAAATTTATATATTTACATAGCTGTTCCACTGGTGTGTCAGCCGTGCGTAAAAAGTCTTACTAATACTGAAAAAACTGGAAGAGTCTTCTCTAGTGCAGCTTTTGGCAGCCTCCAGTGCTGAAACCAGAGCTCTGGGTTTCTCCCACAGCTGTGTGAGCTCAGCTGAGGAACCCCGTGTCAGTCTGTGTCCAGCCACAGCTCCATTACTGATCAGCCGTGGGTGCATCAACCCAGTCTCCTCAACGGCTCCACCATCTCAATGGCACGAACCCCTTGTGCACCAGAGGAGCTACCGTATGCGTTTACGACCTTTCTTTGCCTGTTCTTCCAAAAATCAGGCAGTAATGGGTTCCTGTTGACATCCCAGCTGTGGCATCAGCAGGTAAGAGCTGGTGTGTGGTGTCGGTGCACCCCTCTGAAGTGTCTTCTGCTCACTAGATTGAATTATGTCTGCAGTTCAACACCAGTGAGCCCTTGGAGATTTCAGTCTGCATGGTGGATAAAGGCAGATGGTCGTACTCCTCCATGGATGCAGTTACTGAATTATGCTGGCAGCTCAGGATCAGCGACTTCACCTCCTTTTTGAAGTTGCTGTTGAGGAAACCGTAGATAACAGGGTTGACACAGGTGGAAGCCATGGCTACCAGGTGGCACAATGAGAATATCAGGTTGTGGTGGCAAGGTGAAATGATTTTGTAATTCCAGTCCACGATAGTGTTGAAAACATGCAGGGGAAGCCAGCACACAGCAAAAGCAGCAACCATTGATGCTAACAAAATATTTATCCTCCTCAGCTGAACCGCTCGGTTGCTGTATTCGCTCTTCTCAAACATGTCCTTTCTCTTCTGTAGACGCAAGTAGATACGTAGGTAGCAAAGTATAATGAAGAACAGTGGGATGCAATACTGCAAGAGCAGCAAAGTGGTGGTGTAGATAAGTCTGTGTTGCTCAGAAGGCCAGGAATCGATGCATATGGCCTTGTCAGTGGAGAAATTCATGATGTGTGAGAGCTGCTCATACAAATCATTAGACAAGATGGACGTGGTCAAAAAGGGCAGGGACATGAGACACGCTAAAATCCAAATTACTCCAATTCCAAGATAAGCTTGGGAGATACTTGGCCTCCAGCCAGTTGGGTTTATGATGAGCTGGTGTCTTTCCAGAGCGATAAGGACGAGGGAAAGAATTGACACTGTCACAGATGTGCATTGGGTGAAAGAGGTCATTTTGCACATGACTTCCCCAAATATCCAGTAGTCCATCATGGTGTAAACGACGGTGAAAGGCAGACAGACCAGACACATAAACAAATCTGAAATGATTAAATTGGAAATTAAGATGTTGGTGACGTTGGTCTTTTCCTTCTGCCTGGCGATGACAGCAATTAGACAGATGTTCCCCACGATACCTAGGACAGTCTCCAAGCTGTAAGAGGTGGCCAGAAAGACAGTAAGGTCAGTGATGTTCCTGCACTGGTTAGAAATGTGCGTGGAGAAGCTTCGATTTGAGCTCCAGTTCTTACTGTTCAGGAAAGGAAAACCATCATTAACAGCTCTTGTCTTATTCATCCTGAACCCCAAAATGTTTGTCCAAAAAGATGAGAATTAATCAGAATCTGGGTCTTCTGGGGCCAGCCTAAAAAAGGTTATATCTCTTCCGTTTGGCTGTGCAAGATCTGCATATGTCTGCAAAGGAAAGGAAAAAAGATTCCTTAGTAATGCCACAAGAAATAGTCAAAAGTGCAGCGGAGGAGGCAGGGAAGCAAACGCCAACAATTCTGTGTAACTTTTTCAGTTCCCTTTTATATAGCTTATTAGACCATAAAATAGAACCATTAGCTAAACTGTGGTATGGAAGTCTGTGTGGCTCTACTGAGTCGTGATTGTGTTTGCTGGTTGTGAGGTTATCCCATGGATTTAAGAACCTCTTCATTTAACTCAGTTCAGTATCTTGATCATCACCCGTACAGCAGAGCGGCGCTTCAAGAAAACTGGATCAAAACATGCTTGGGGGTAAAAATTGTGTGTAATTCTGGTTTTGCAAGGTTTTGAGCAGAAAAACTGAGCAGAAGACACTTTGTGGGGCTGCATTTGCCTACAATCAAGCTAAACATCAATGTGAAAAATGAGGCATATGAGATGCATAAAGCCTACACTAAAATATCTGATGTGAGTTAATCTGTGCATTTGTGATTGCAGCCAGAACCCACGTTTTCTTGAGACAATTACCATGCAAAAATGCAGGCTCATATCCTCAGGAGGGATAACATGGGACAACTTTGAAAAAGTCTAGAAGAACTCAAAAACCTTTTGACATTTTTCAGCTTCAACATAGCTGCAATAGGTCATGGGAACTGCAGTCCAAATTCCCTGCTTCCCCATTCTGGATGAACTCCGGTGCCCATGAGACATGGATGTTTCCCCCTGGGTGGCCAGTGTGGCCATGAGAGGGTTTATCAGAAATATAGACCAATCTCTGGATTTTGGCTGTTAAGAGTGGGTGATTTTGACAATCTATCTTAATTCCTTATAAGAAGCTTCTTATTGTTTCTTCCCTAGCATAACTTTAGTGTGTTTAACCAAGGGAATTCAAATGTTATATTAGGATGTGCTATCCCCTGGCCAGTGTTTTTGTCTTATCCACTGCTGCAAGCCCTGAGCATTGGTTTTCAACAGGGTCCCAGGAAGTTTTATTGAGGCTGCACCTTTTTGGGAATCTCAGCCATGGGAGTGCCTGGACTCTACCAGATGGCTCCTGGGAGGCTGTTGTGATCCACCCGTAGCAGAGATTGCTTTATAATCCCAGCTCCAGAGTCCAAATCCTCTATGTTCAGGAATCCAAAAAAAAAAAAAAAATCTGCCTCTGCTGGGAGTTCTCCTCAGGCCAGAGGCAGTTACATGCTGTACAAAGGCTTGTTAAGTGAAAAGTAAATAAATGCTCAGGGAACGACACTATTTACTCATTGCATGACCCTTTCCTCAGCAATAAAATGCCACTCAAACAAGTTTGTGGGGTTGTGGAAAACTTCTGAGCTTCAGAAAAAGACGTGGTCAAGTTATGAATACGTAAATAGAATGGTATAGTGAGCTTATCTCCATGAGTAGCATTTACTCTGAGCAACTGCATGCATAAAGGTAACATGTACAGCACAAAAAAGCATCCACCATGCTACAGTTTTTTGTTTGCCTTGTCTTTCTCCTTATGAATTGTGTTGTATGCTTCTTGATGCTGCCTTTCAGGAACTAACAAAAGCAATAATGGAGAGAAAATGAAAAGGTGGTTTGGTATCTCTGTTCTGTGTGCTGAGCAAAAATCAGTTCAGTCAATTCTTTTGTTGCTTTGCAAGATCTGTTAATTTATATATTTGTACCTATATCTACCTGTCATCTGTCCGTATCTATTGTCTGAGACAGTCAAAAGAGTCATGATCTCTGTTCTGCGTGATGAGCAAAAATCAGTTCAGTCAATTATTTTATTGCTTTGCAAGATCTGTTAATTTATATATTTGTACCTATATCTACCTGTCATCTGTCCGTATCTATTGTCTGAGACAGTCAAAAGAGTCATGAGTGAAATATAGTAACCTTTTCTTTCTCTTGTTCTCTCATTTCCTCGGTAGTTTAAATATTCCTTAAAAGAGGGCAAAGGAAATATTCCGAATTGCAGACATAGATATGACTCTTCGCTCACTTTTGTGTTGTTACTCAACTCGTGTGAGCCAATTTGATTTATTTTCTGGAACTAAAAGAAGCAGCAACGGTGATGTATGGATTGCACGGTCGTGCATGGGGAGGGTCAGTGCAGGGAAAAGTCTAGTTTGGCATGAAAATTAATATAGAATGAAAAACCACTGACCACCCCGTTAGCTTTAAATGACTGCTGGCCAGTGGAGGTTCTGCATATGAAACAGAGCAAAGGGATCAGCAGCCTGCAATGTTATGTGGTACCAGTAAAAAGAGCTCAGTCTTGGCATTTGGACAGGACAAACAGACTCTGCTGTGAACGAACAGATGAGCTTTTTACTAGAGTACCAGCCTGGTGTCCTTAGCTACAGTATCCTCCACAACAAACACATTGGTTCTCCTTTGTTGCTTGAAAAAATGCCTGCTGAGTTATTACAAACATCTGTGACCCACAAAGTAAGCTCTCTCAAGGGTCCCAGACACTTTTGGACATACCGAGGCTTCAGTGAGGAGAGTTAATAAGGTTGAAGCAAAAAGAGTGAGTAGTGGAACCACCTGAAAAGCAGAAGCTGGATCCCCCAGCCTTAAGCAGCGCATTCCCAAGAGGAATGCCAAGGGCAGAGCATGGCTGTGCATGTCACTGAAGGCAAACGTGGTGGGGATTTCTCCTTTGTTGCTTGAAAAAATGTGTGCTGAGTTATTACAAACATCTGTGGCCCACAAAGTAAGCTCTCTCAAGGGTCCCAGACACTTTTGGACATACCGAGGCAAAAAGAGTGAGTAGTGGAACCACCTGAAAAGCAGAAGCTGGATCCCCCAGCCTTAAGCAGCGCATTCCCAAGAGGAATGCCAAGGGCAGAGCATGGCTGTGCATGTCACTGAAGGCAAACGTGGTGGGGATAAAGAGCATCTCTGAAGGCTTTGCAGTGCATTTTGTTGGGCTAGGAGCTCCCTTTCTTTTAACACCTCGCATTCCATGGTGTCTCCCACCAGGTGATTGGTCAAGCATCTTCTGGGCTTTCCTTCTTATGGTACTGCCCAGAGGTAAATGAGAAATCATCACCCTCGTCACAGATACGAGGGCTTAAGAAAGAGAGGTGAGACAGGAGTTGTCCAGTGTCTCAAGGGAACCTGTGGTGCACTGTGTAGTACTTAAAACTGCCCCCCAACCTTGATGTCTTAGGGAAATTCAGAGCTTATGTCCATAGTTCTCTGTATCTCTTATTCCCACACCCATAGGGTAAAAAGCAGTTCTAGAAAAATAGAAAAACAAACCTTGCAGTGACCTTATACTTATATATCCTGCTCTGGTACCCTTGGATGGCAGATTCTCAAGGTCAGGCACAGCCTATGTAATCTCAAGGTGTTCGACTGCCATTCGGTTTGGTCTAAATTAAGAGCCAGTAATAAGTAATGTGTACACATTCTGTTCAGGTATTGGAATCAAAAGTTAGCTAATATACTGGGCATGGCTGTGCTTGTCACTGAAGGCAAACTGCTCAGTATTGGAATCAAAAGTTAGCTAATATACTGAATCACCAATGCAATGGGGGGAAAAGGGTGTTAGTCCCCTCCCTGTATCAAAGGTTCGTAAATTACCCAGTAAAATATAGCAAAAACTTTATGGGCTATAAAAATCAGCTTCTGTCTCCAGAAAGTGAAGCAATACTTAGCTTGTAGGAGCATGAAGCATGCCTCCTAAACAAGATTGCTGACGGAGTGGGGGGGAAAGTTTGATTGGTTTTGTTTGCTTGTTTGTTTTTGAAGAGGAAAGAGTGATCCTGTTCAGAACCCTTAATGAACTTCAGGAAAGAGGTCAGTAACAAAAGCTAGCATGCCCAAAAGGCAGGGTTTTCTTCTCTAATTGATGCAGCATGAGAGAGTTTCTCTAAAAAATGAGTGTCAACAAAAGCAAATTAAAAGGATACAGAGGGAAAAAGAGAAGATTTCAGTTTTAATCTTAGTGTAAGTTACATTCCCCACTTACATCTTTTATAGATATTCATCACTGTGCTCTGTGTTGGACACAATGAAGGGGAGATTGAAGGGTCTGAAGTGTTTGTCTTTCTGAACAACACAGCCTTCAAAACTAATCAATGTCACTCAGGTTGTCTCAAAAAAAGGAAATCAGCTATCACTAGTGAACTGGAAAACCTTGCACCAGGGGCCTATCCTGTATTACCTGGAAAAAAAATCCTAAAAGGAAAGGGAATTCTGCAGAATTCCCAGGGTCGGTCTGGGAAGAAAATGAAACCCTCAGTGGGTTTCAGGGAGGCTGATTGATAGACAATAAGTGGCCCTGGGCAGTTAATGCTTTTGAGAGACCTCTGGGCTTGAAGACATGCCATGAAAATCTTTATAAAAACTTTTCCTGAGGGCATGATAAAGCAAGGGACTACTGGTGATGCTGTGCTCTCTGGGAAAACCTGGGTCATTCTCGCAAAACTGATCTTGACCATCCCCTCCTGGTCATCAAAAACCAGTCTCCGTAGTTGTGATGGACGGTGTGGCTCAATGTCCACATCAGACATAAGTCAAAGAAAAAAGAATGTTTGCAGTGTTGGGCTTCATTATCTGGTACTCAGAAGCAATCGTTTGTGTGGCTCAGAAAATGTCACTTATGTTGTCTCAAAAAAAGGAAATCAACTATCACTAGTGAACTGGAAAGCCTTGCACCAGGGGCCTATCCTGTATTACCTGGAAAAAAATCCTCAAAGGAAAGGGAATTCTGCAGAATTCCCAGGGTCGGTCTGGGAAGAAAATGAAACCCTCAGTGGGTTTCAGGGAGGCTGATTGATAGACAATAAGTGGCCCTGGGCAGTTAATGCTTTTGAGAGACCTCTGGGCTTGAAGACATGCCATGAAAATCTTTATAAAAACTTTTCCTGAGGGCATGATAAAGCAAGGGACTACTGGTGATGCTGTGCTCTCTGGGAAAACCTGGGTCATTCTCGCAAAACTGATCTTGACCATCCCCTCCTGGTCATCAAAAACCAGTCTCCATAGTTGTGATGGATGGTGTGGCTCAATGTCCACATCAGGCATAAGTCAAAGAAAAAAGAATGTTTGCAGTGTTGGGCTTCATTATCTGGTACTCAGAAGCAATCGTTTGTCTGGCTCAGAACTTCACTGGTTGCTCAAGCCCAGTTTGCAGCTTTCAGTCCATGAGACTTCCTGAGAGAAGCAATTACTAAAGATGTGAAGTGATCTCGTTACTCATTTAAAGAGTGACAGCAATTATCTGCAGTAAAGCAGCATTTGTCTGCCTCTTGTAAACTAGAAACAAAGCAGCAGTGGAAAGGTTTAATGGAAGTCCGAAATTCATATTGCAGATATTAATTGAGGTGGTGGTGACTGACTAACTGTGGTATCTCCTTTTTGCTGGCAGTGATGTTATCACAGTTAAATGGATCTGCCCTGTTTAGCCTTACAGGTGATTCTGAGATACATCCTAGAGAAAGGTTAAAAATCATTGCAGGTTCCCAGGAAGGCAACTTTTAACTAGAAGAAGAAATCTGCCACTGCGTATGCACAGACATCCCACAGCAATGTCAAATCCATGAGGGATTTGGTACAATGAAATTTAGTGGTGGGCTCTTCAGCTTTGTTTAGGTCCGTGTTGCAAAAATACTGGGAGCAACTATCTTAGGTCATTGAAAAAGCTATATATGCTAAAAATTTCTAAAATCTGCATAATTTGGGTATAGAACGAGTTGTAAGTATTGATGTTATAAGTCTATAACATTGGGAGGTGGTATAAATACCCAGGAAAGGGAATATTCCCTCCCCCCCATATATTTTCAGAAGGAAACCTTTCAAGTGATATGAACTTTTATTATGAGTCAACCTTCTCTGATCCTGCAGAAATCAGAGAAGTTTTACAGAAGTCCCTACTCCGACTTTTTATTTTCTGGTTAAATTTGCAGCAACCTCACCAAAGACACAGACCCAGCCCAAGGGCAAAATGTGAGCAGCAGGTCAGCAGACTGGAGAATGTCCAGTCCCTGATTCCGTAAGACTAAAGGTCTTTATGACTTCCTATAGCCAAGAGGAAAAAAAAAAAAGATATTTTTATAAAGATGATCTTTACCAAAGGAGGTGGGGAATCCATAAATCATTGTAATGGGCACCTTAGCAGGCAGGCAGTTAGGAAATCTGGAGGGTGACGTGATGTGAACGGCCAAAAACTGTATGGGTTGGGTGGGGAATGAGTCTCAGGAACTGGGAGACAAGAAATATTTTCCAGTGGTAACCAGAAAGGCTTTCTGTGAGACCACAAGGTGACAAGGAGCACACCTGAATCCCAAAGATCCCTCAAGAAGCTGCCATCTCCCGCCTGCACCCTGAAAGGTTGCAAAGCTCTGCTCAGTAGGTACAAGGGTTGGGCCTTTGATGACAAGTCGGGCTTTTGTCCATTTGTCAAAGATAGTCATTTTCTTTGGTGGAAAACGCTGGTTCAGGGTACCCATACCCTGTGAACGTTTCATGGAGCTGAAGGATGTCCCTTCAAATGCTTTCTCTGAATCAGATGGAGGAGGGAGAACCCAGATAAACCTTGGGCTCCATGGGGTTAAACACCAGGTTTGGTATCAACTACTCCTGTAGAGTTCAAGCCTTTTGGGTTACTAACAAAAACCTCAGAAATTAATTATGATTATTTTGCTTCCAATGAAACAAAATGTTCCATTCATACCAAAATCACTTATCTTTTGTATCTGAAAATGCCTTATTTCCCTCAAAAACATCCACTCTTTCAAAACAATACATTTAATGTTTTGGTTCAGGCGTTGACCGATAAAAGAAATTGTTTGCTCAACCTTCATCCAAGCTGAATGGTAAACAGCAAAGGCCTCCCTTCTTTTTATAGCTCTCCTTGCTAAATTATTACCATTAATAATTACATTAATATTTATTATGGTGGTATTAAAAAACTAATTGAGACTAGGTCCTCTTGGGCTTCACGCTGTACGGGTCTAGAGGAGCAGACAAGTCTTTCTTGACCAAGATGGACAAAAGTTTAAAAGCAGTACAAAGAGAACCAAGTATTTATTACTGTTTTCCTGGCCTTGTGACTGGATTCAGAGTGCGTTGATTATAGTGGACTTTGGATCAAGTTCACTTAATATTTCTGCCCTTGTTTTCTGTATCGTTCTAAAACCATAAAGAAATCCACACTATTTTTGTGGAAATGAAGGATGGTGCAAGAATTCTTTACTTTTAGGAACTAAATATGCACAAAACCTTTCAATCCATGGCTCCTCTTGAATCTAAATTTCATGTCCCTGTCAATATCAATGGATCAATTTTGGCATCTAAATGCTAATTGAATGCTTTTCATTATCTCCTGTTTACTCTAACAGTTAAATAAATGAATAATCATAACTGAACTGTTTGTAATCTTATGCTCTTCTAAAACCTTGTTTCTTTATATTAATTTAACCACTACTCAGTAACTCTCCCTTAAAAGTTTCTGATACATAACTCTTGCCTCGGATCCTAGGTAGAGTTTCAGGTGAAGCCTTACTTAACATTTTCTGATCAGAAATTATCCAAAGCAGAGGAAGCTTTGAGCAGAAATGGAATTAGCAATGATGGCATCAGCTGCCAGTCACACGAGTGAAAGTCGAATCATTTTTTACAATAAAAAGTGATAACTTTAATAAAGAGATCTCAGCTCTTATCAGTGTAAAACAGATAAGTTAGAAAATTCTTACCTGTTACTGCTTGAGAAAGAAACGTGCAGCAAAAGCAGGGATTATCTTGGAAGAAAGGAGGAATGTTTTAACAGCAAAGAAATGTCCTGTGTGTCTTAGCAATGCAGAAGAGCAGCTCTCCCCGCTGTTCCTGTAGGTAATTCGGATGGCATCTCTCTCCCTCTCCCCTCCTTCCTTCCCTCCCTGCAGTTTAGCCAATGAATTCTGCTTTATGTTTATGGGACGACTTTGAACTTCTGGCTCCCTCTGCTGTTCCATAAATACAGAGATTCTACAGATATTTGAAAGGAAGAGCAGCTTCAGGAAGGAGCTCTGAAGCAGGGCAGGCACCCGTGCTGCAGGCAAGCATGTACTCGGGTGAGGAGCACCCTGAAGAAAAGGGGTCAAATACAGGAACAGAGCATAATCCTGTTCTTCTCACTCAGACAAGACTTTCTTACAAAGAGAATTTTGCCTCGTACGTATAAAAAGGTTGCCAGTATCAATTTTCTCTATGTTTCCATTCCACCACAGATTGATGTTGGAATTTTATTTCAGAGGGATACAGGCTACAAGTCCTTAAATTGTGAAAGGGGAGGAGGGACACTGTTACTCAAAGAACTTGGAAAGGTAAGAGCCCTGAGAAAGCTGCAAATAGAGGAAAAGAAGGATTTGCAGAAGTTCCAGTTTTCAATGATTTTTCCCAAGTTTTTCTCGTGAAAAACCAAGGCACAAATCAGGGTTGAAAATTTTTCTCTTGCACTGGGAAAATGCACAAACAGATTATTTCCAAGGGCTGTGTCAGAATAACCTAATTTCAGCCTTAAAGTAGGTTTTAAGCCATGGTAAACTACTTTGGGTTTTGCTATTTTGTGGCCCTTCTAGAGGTGTGGAAGTAGCAAAATGTGTGTTTTCATTTGTAGTCACGTAGTATGTCAACAGAAATAAAACATTTCAATATCAAAACAAGTGCAAGCGCTTATCAACTAAACTAAACGTGGAAACAGGTTTTTGTTTGTACTGTGTTCTTTCTTTCCTTTTCTTTTTTTCTGGTACCAGCTGTTACACGTGCGCCCATCTACTCCCAGCACTTACCCGATATCTTTTATCACTTAAGAAATAATCAAAGCAGAAGTATTTAAAGTCTTTCTAGAACATTTTAGCATTTTTTTCATGTCTTGTGATGCTGAGAAGCTTAAAACTGGGATCTGTGTAATGAATGGTGTGAGCTGGAGAGTTGTCTGTAGTGACTGGGTTCTTTCTTCAGGGCATCCCTGAGTTGCTGCTTATTCTGTATTACTTATTACTTATTTTTGCCCAGCCTCCTTTTTGGGACCTCTTTTTTTGGAACCAGCCTCCCGTATCCCAGCCTTTCCCTCGTACCCAGGCGCCTCAGAAAGAGATGACCTTTCTGATCTGTTAAGGAAGGGGACATGAAGTCTGTGCTTCCAGCTGAGGAGGCAGCAGCCCACACAGATCTCCAGCCTCTTGCCAGCTCCTTAGGAAGTAGAAGCTTCCTATCTTACTGGAGCCAGAAAAGCCGGAATGATTTATTTAGCCGGCCTGTTCATTCTGCTTCTTCCTTAATTTATTTATCATATGTTTGTTTATTCTGCTGTTTAAAGCATTAAAGAAAGGGGAGGAAAACCACTAGGAAAAAGGCAGTCCTTTTGCTGAGGGGGTATTTTGATCCGTGAGGCTGTTCTTCTCAGCATCCCTCGGCCAGCTTTATCTCCACACCTTCCAAACATTTAAAGATACATCATGTCACTATTCTTCTCTTGATTCAGATGCTTGGGCAAATGCTTGCTGATTTGCAAAGCATCTTCTCTTGATTCAGATGCTTGCTGATTTGCAAAGCAGCAAATCAGCACATGGTTCTCTTCTTAAAGTCAGCAGGGAGGCTGTGCTCCTGAGAGGCTGATCAGGGATCTCGCCCAGGGGTCAGGAAATGACCAAACCACCAATATTTTGCTGTGGCACCTGGGACTTTCTTCTTGACAGATTTTTTTAGGTTATATCAAGGTTCTGGGCAATTTCGATGAGGTGAATGGTGCTGCATTAGAATCCTATATTCTTTCCACGTCCTGTCCAAACTGCAGGGTTGAAAGTGTTCACTATTAACTGGTGAACAGGAGCAGGACTTGGGTCATTCCTAATCCTGCACGGGTTTGTGTAACTGGAACCGAGCATAAGCCAAGAGATGTGGTGGGGCTGGAGCTCCCATGAGGTAGCTGTCTGGACCTCAGCAGAGCAGGGACAACACTTGGAATGAGAATAGCTGCAGGAAGCCAGTGATGCAGATGCCTGTTCCCTCATCCAGATGGGTCCTGGATGCTTGGTTCAGCCTCTTGCTGAAATGGATACCTGTGCCTGAACTACCTGGTTTGAGTCTGGCCTTGTTTTATTTCACGATACGATGGGGACAACTGAATATGTACCTGTGGAGAGCCCCCATGAGGATCCTGACCCCCTGAGGCCTCTGCAGCACAAGCACTGCTTGTATGAGGTGGGAATTCCAGTGTATGCAGGATGTTTGCTGCTGGGAAGCAACGTGGAAGCACCGTAGTCCCGGTAATTGCTGGTCATGTGCTGGTCAGACTGGCTGTTTCTGCTCATATCAGTAAATTTGCGTTGACTCTGGCAAGCAATGGACCAGCCTGTTTGCTATTTATAGGGAATGGAGTAAAGAAACCGTAGCTGATACGGCCAGGGGCTGCCCCACTGCCCGCAGAGCCGTAAGAAGGCTTGTTCCCCTTCTCTTCCACAGCACGTGTTCCCATCACGGGAAGGCACTGGGGAACCGTCCTGTTTTCTCTGCAGTTTATTACCTAAACCAGCTGGATTCCACGGAGACAACCTGTTTCCAGGGGGTGGAGATGCACGGGGGAATTAGTCCTCTGTGTTGGCCAAATAACTCCTTTCTGGAAGTGGTTATGGTGACAGTAAAGCCTCTACTGAGAATCATGCACTGGGTGCAACTAAGCATTTCCCTGGGAGCGATAGGATCATCACAGCAGTGGGATCACCACTGCTTTCTGAATGCCTTGAGGGTCTCCTCCAGTGCTCTTGTGTCAGATCTTCAGCCGTATCAGCTTCCGCCGACGGAGCCCTGATGCTCTGTGTCTTTCTTCCCTCTGAGTATGGAGATTCAGAGACCAATTCTCCTACAGTACATTTAGCAAATCTAATTGTGGTCCAGCATCTGGATTCCTGCTCTCTCTGGCACTGCTAAACACTCAGCAGTGTCCACAAAGAAAAAGACTCAAGGACTCGATGACGAAAGCATGAGGAGAAAATGTACTGTAGAAGAGTACGTAGTCCATATGTGTGCTAAGCTTAGCAGGTCTACGTGGTGTCCTTGTGGGTATTTTGCACAAGTTTGGCTTTGTTTTGTCAGAATCTCTACCCCTCTCTGAAGTATAATTGATATTTTAACCATTGTCAGCCTTCTCCTCTCCGTGCAGAATCAGTGGAGGGTTAAATCCTCTTATCCACCCTCTAGCAAGTAGAAAAGTGAGGGTCCCTTCAGCATCTGCTACTTCCAGGTTGGAAGGGTCACAGCCAGCTCCAGTGATGCCCCAAGGAGGCACAGGGCAATATTGTCAAAGGGAGCTGCTACCTAGTCCTGTGGGCCACAGATTTAAGAAACTACGAGTGTATTTCTCATTGTACCTGCTTCCTGGAATCACCTTCTTTCTGGCAGTATCTGGAGCCATGGATGGGTTTTTCTTCTAACCATTGGCAGGCTGTTTTGCTTAGTTTTGTACAGGTTTTCAACTTGTATACTCTCCGCACCACACTTGAAAATAGACTACATGACTATGATTTTCCATAACAGATATTAAAAAGAAGCTTCTGTTTCCTCAGACGAAATATTTCCTTGTAATACACTTCAGCAAGGCAGATGAAGAAAACACCTATGATGTCAGTGTTAAATAAACTGAACACTCAAATGATTTATCTGGCCCTTTTAAGCTATACGCCGTTCTTGTTATAATTACTCTTAATACTGTATAAATATGTTTTATAGGATATTACTCATATAAACCACTTTCACGGACTTTGTACCAGGCACCGTGTAGTGCCTGAAGTCCACTGGCTAAACACGTTTTATAGTCTAGGTTTTCTGTATAAACAGCTTTCACGGGGTTGTTTGTCAGTGGACTTTGATCCAAACAAGATTATTGCAGGAAATTCTACCCTGGTATGGAAGGCTACAGAGCTATTTATATGGCATTTCTTTGCAGCAGGTTGGACTCTCAGGCATGGGCTTGCCTTTTTTTGTAATATACCAGTCATCTCCTGGGGAATATGTTCCCCTTTGCATCTGCACTAATGGGTTGACCTACGCAAGGCACCAGGGTGGGGAGAGGCTTTCAAAGGGATGTTTTCTGCTTTGCTTCATCCCCTCCTTCAAGTACACGTGTCCTTCTGGGAATGTCAATGAGAGTAACAGCTTAATGAATCCGTTTGTCTGGCAGCACTTTATATAATACCTGTTACTCTAAAAGCTAGGTGATTTCCAAATCAATAATTAGATTTACAAACATTTACAAACACCATGAATTCTTCTGTTTTCAACAAGACCAATCAGTGACTACTTAAAAGAAAATGCAGTGATTTGATGTACGCGAAAATTTATTTAACTCTGGATCCCAACAGGAAAAAAGTCACAAAGTTATCTGTGGTAAAGCTTGGTTACAAATGTGTATAAGACAAATCACCTAGCATCAGACATGAGATAGATGTGGCAGAATTAGAGTTGTGAAAGGCAGGAGGCGAACCCCTTCCTCCAGAGGACGTTCTCCAGAGAGATCCAGAGCATGTTCAACTTCTGGGGTAGGTGGAGAAGAGGAGAAATGCAGCACTTGGTCTTAACCAATTCCATTGTAGACTTTGCAGGTTACGTCAGGATTAGTCTTCTTCACCACTCGGATGGAACAGCTCTTCTTGTGGAATAGGCCAACGCAGTTCACCCTGTCATAGTTCTTGGGGATTACAACCCTGTCATGGAGAAAGGCAAAGGGAAAATCAGCAGCCAAGACCTGGGCTGAGAACGATGCTTGCTGAGCCACAGCCATCCTGGAGAAAGCTACGGGATGGATCCATTTGGCTGATGGATTCCATTAATACAAGCACTATAGATTATCACAGGAGGAATACACAGCCCTGATCATGGCTGTAACAGATGAAGTGATTTCCCAAAGTTTGTCTGGTTCAAACGCAGTTCTCACTGGTCACGCTGTTAGGGATTGGTACAAATTCCCATGCAGAGACAAAATAGGGATTAAGTCTGTCTCCTCCGTTCAAACTAAGACTTTCTTGATAGTAACAAACCACTTAAAGAGTGCTGAATCACCCCAGCTTGAATACCTCCCAGTTGAGTCTCTTTCCAGCACAGGCTGACTCCCTCCCTCCCGTGGCTGAGGACAGTCAGGAATATTTCCCACCAGGAGTTCCTTGGGCTGTATCCTTCCTCACAGTCCTCTCTTTGTGGGACTCTCCCTCCCTCACCTCAAGAAGAATTTTTCCACCCTTCTGAGGAGCTAATCAGTTCACACCACTATATTCAGGAAGACACAGCTGTCCTTGATGTGTCACCTGCCATTCATGAGGCAGGAACACACAAGGAGATTTAGGCAGCAAATTTTCAGAGCAGGACACACGTGTCCCATTTTGGTAAGCAGGAAGGATGGGCTCTTGGCAGCATGGGGAGGTTGTGGACCAGCTCTGGCCTGATTAGATGCTTGCAGGCAGGCCACTGCCCTGGTGCAGAGCTGCAGAAGTCCATATGTACATCTGTTGTGGGGTGTTTGGGTATCTGGAGACAAGCTGCTGAATAGAAGGAGGAAGAAAACAGAGGCTAAAGGGAAACATACGCCCAGTTAGTGTCAGAATCAAAAGAAGAACTAGGTCGTGACGAGGAAGAGCTGTGTTCTGGGAAGACCCTGACTGTGTTTCATTTTGTTTCCTACCAAAGAAATCTATGTAATCATCAGACTATTCTACTAGCTCACGATTAGAGCTAACTGGGAAACAGGGAGAGGCATTTCGCTCATGCAAGTATGAAATTCCAATGCGCGTTTTCCATGAGGCTCTTTAAAGTCTGAACATTTCAACCAGCCCCTGAATAAGCAAAAAAAATAACTTGGGTGAACTTACAAGCTGCAGCAAATCATCGCAGTCATCTTACACCTGCATTGGTAACAATCGTCCGTCTTCCACACCGCGCCGAAAACATAGAGGTTTCTGTTCGAAAGGCACCCTGCAGGGAAATGATAGTCAGTAGATCAATAGGCACAGACCCCAGTTCTATGTCTGTGGACAAGCAAGGGACCTTAAGAATCTGAGAAACGCCTTATCTTATGGCTGTGCTAGGATCTTTCTGCCCTTTCTCATATTCAAAGTACACGTCTAGACTTTAATTTCCCCCTCCTCCCCAATTCTTACTAGACTTCAGCTTGCTACACCTGCTGTGTTGTCTTTGCTTTGATTTTAGTGGCAGGTACCCCCCTCATGATAGTCAGTAGATCAATAGGCACAGACCCCAGTTCTATGTCTGTGGACAAGCAATCACAGCAAAGAATCTGAGAAACGCCTTATCTTATGGCTGTGCTAGGATCTTTCTGCCCTTTCTCATATTCAAAGTACACGTCTAGACTTTAATTTCCCCCTCCTCCCCAATTCTTACTAGACTTCAGCTTGCTACACCTGCTGTGTTGTCTTTGCTTTGATTTTAGTGGCAGGTACCCCCCTTAGGTTAGTCAACACTGCTTAAAAATATATGTTTTTTGCCACCTGGGCAGGGATTTCATTTATACATCAGCCCAGAGGGTAACTATGGAACAGGGAAAAGTCCCTCTATGTGTGTTTCCAGAGATGATTCCAGGTGGGTTGACTGCTGAGTATCCAGCTGTTTGGATCATTCCTCAGCAAAGGCTGTATTATACTATTCCAACATTTCTAAGGGAAAAAAAAGGCTTTGAAACTCTGAATTAATGCTTCGGGGATGTCTAATATATTTGCCATTCTTACCGTATTTGCTGGCTGGTCTAAAGTAACAGCGAGCATCACACAGAGTCCTTGAGAAGAGAAGGATCAAGTAAAGGAGCAGCAGGAATTTCTGGAAAAAGAAACAAAAATTTTTATTTAAAATTAGGTGGGTGTTTTTTTCCAAAGGTCTAGCAGATCAGCTTGCTCAAAAGTAAGGACGGGTCCTACTATTGCCAATAATAAATGTTTCCAGTGGACATACACACAGACAGACAGACACACACGCATTATAAGCTGCTAACTTACCATACTTGCATGGGCTGCTCACATTTCCTAACGAGGAGGAGTGTGTATTTATATATAGTGGGGAAACAATGGCCAGTGCAAGGGGAGATGATGTAAACGTGAGCACCTCAGGTGCCAATGGGCACCCTAACCCGTTCCGACCATCCATCAGAAGGTGGCACCTCAAAGAGTCTTGCAAAAAGCTTGTTTTGTGGGCTGACGGGCATTGGCATCTTGATCTCCATTGTGCTGGTGCAAATCTGAAGAAACTCCAGCAGGCACACGAGTTACTCCACACCAGCACTGGTGCTGATGGAAGAGCCCGACCCCCAGAAAGCTCCAGCCCCAGAACTGGCAGACCATCAAGGACCGGTGGGGAAAGGGCACGTGCTGAGCAAGGCAGCAGAGCCCTATTGTTCCACTGACCTGCTCCCAGGAGATGGCCCCCAGGCCTGGAACAGGCCATTCATGCAGTGCAGTGGTGTGGAGAGTCCACTGTTCTGGGATTGATTCATTGCCTTTTCAATTATTTCATATGAGACACGTCATTTTGTCCATATGTAGGGACCTGCAGGGACGGGCTGTAGCTTTATATCTCCCAGTTGGTAAAGCAAAGCTGGGTTTCAGGGGTAGAGGCAGATCACCATGACCAGATAGCACCTTTTTCGGCAGCAGAAGTGAGATGAGCTGTGCATTGTCTCAGTCCAGAACCGAACACAACAGGCAGGACAATTGTCACTCATGGCTCTCCTCCTGACAGCAGCAACACTGATGTTAAGGACTGGGGAGAGGCAAAGAAAGCAAAAGTTCCAGTTTTCTTTCCCCATATGCACGTTTGCCTCAAACACTGCTGGAATTGGATACAAACAGCAGTTTTGTTTCTGTAACACTGAAATGAGGACGTTTCTTTCAATACACATCTTGCCATAGGTGTCTGGGTCTTTGTGCAATCAGAGCATTGCAACACACAGTGTGTGGGGCTGCATCTCAAAACCAGGCAGGAAAAGTAGCACAGATAGAGTCATAGAATGGTTTGAGTTGGAAGGGACCTTAAAGATCATCCCGTTCCAACCCCCTGCCCTGGGCAGGGACACCTCCCACCAGACCAGGTTGCTCAAAGTCCCATCCAGCCTGGCCTTGAACCCCTCCAGGGATGGGGCAGCCACAGCTTCTCTGGGCAACCTGTTCCAGTGTCTCACCACCCTGTTCCAGTATCTTACCACCCTCACAGGAAAGAATTTCTTCCTGAGATCTCATCTAAATCTTTCATTTTAAAACCATTACCCCTTGGGGGCTGAAGGGATCCAAGGCTTTACTGAATTGGAGCACGAACATTACAAGTTTTAAAAGTTACCAGAGGATTCCCAGCATAATGAGTTGCATTAAATCCATTAGTGTAGCTCCTTCAGCACACCTGGGTTTAATTAGATGCCTTGATTGGTATGGCTGAACTCATTAGCTTCCACTGATTGACAAATAGCTAGAGGAAGGAAAGCTGCACTGAAAGAGGTTTCTGGATAAAAGGGGCAGTGGCAGAAGGAGCACAGTCTCTTGAGGGACCTGGAGTAAAGGGGCAGTTGTGAAGGAGGTGGCTGCTGGTCTTTGTGACAGAAGATTTGATTTATGTAAGTTCCTTTTGTTCATTTGTTTGTGTGTACTCAGTGAGAAGCTTTAAACCTTCTATTGTAGTTTGCTTTTTGACTTTGCAGTGTGGCCATCGAGTTTTGTGTTAACCTTGTGATGTTGGTGGGTTATGCTCTCCTTGTGGGGTTCTGCTGCAGGAAGCAGTTGTGGTGTTTAGTGAAGTGCCATGAGAAAAAAATTATTTTCTGGTAATCCTTAAATGAATGAGCTTCTATCTGAAAGGAATAATTTGCTCCGAGCAACTTTGCTAGCTAAGAGAAGCAATAACATGAAAATGGAATGTATTTCTTAAGCTACTAAGCCTTTAAGTATGTGATATGGATTTGTTTTTATTTTAATTGAGACTATTTGATTATGGTTTAGTGTAAGTAGGGGCCAGGCTCACTTCTGGCCTGTCCCTGCTGTAACTCTTGACAAATCTTGTGCTGTTTGAGGAGGGGTAAGTGTTATGGTGGCAAGGAAATGTACTGAGCAACCTCTGACTTGAGGGTTGTGGCGGATTCTAAATTATTCTCTTACTTAAGATGATTAATTTACTTAATTAGTTAATTATCCTTTCTTCCTTGGAGGGGAATAACTATATTAATAACTTCCTTATAATTCTTGCTGTTTCTCAGGTAGACAAATGTATAAAATATAGAAATACGATAGGAAGTGGAGGTGTAGAGTGATGTTGCTGCCAGAAAGGCCTGGGAGCTCTACCTCCTTGACCTGAGGTGTACATTTTTGCTGCAGTATTAAGCAAGGTTCTCTGTTAAGGGAAGGTTAAGTTGTCCTAGCCTAGCTGATGGCTGTGATGGGTGAGAAGGTTGATTGCCTCCAAGACTTGGAGACCATGGGAGCTTGTGCTTTCCCTCTACACCTTTTCCCTTGGGGTCTGTTCTGCTGGAAGGGCTTATAGCCCAGCTCTAGATGTACAGACTTCAGTTAAACAACTTCCTCCACTGGCTGTGGAGGTATGGCAGCAGTTAATGTATGGGTCTCCTCAGCCTGAGGACCGTGAAGCGATGAGAGGAACGTCCAGCACTGCCTTTCCCTGTTTATCTAGTTCCTCTGTCTGTCAGAGAAGTTGCCAAACTAAACTGGTCAAATAATGTAGCGGCTTGACTAAAACAGTGACTCTGTGCCAAGTCAAGGAAGCAGTTCTGCCCTGGGAAGCTTTTGCCAATTAGAAGGACTTTGAGTTTTCTGAGGAGACGCCTGGAGTTGGAGGATCTGGGCTGTGGCCCTTCCTCAAGCCAGATGGGCACCTGGATGGTGGCCTCAGGTCACCGGGGCTCTGACTAGGGTATCAACTCCATAATTTGTTTAAAACTTTCTCACATTGAAAATGTGTCTTCAGTAGCCTTTAGTGCCTTTGGACATGGTCTCCTAGTTGTGTGTTGCTTCACCTTGTGTTCCCTGATTCAAAACTACATCCATAAACTGCTTAATTAATAAACACTGCAGTAGGCTTCAAAAGTGGGTTAAAGCACATCAATAAATCTGACCTGACTTCAAAATGGTTCATGTCAAACTGTTTTAAAGAGAAACTAAGAAGGGAAACTGAGGTTCCTTCTGCCTATGACAACTGGTTGCCTCCTGTTCTAGCTGAACTTGTGGGAGTGAGCCTTTGAAGCACAAATTGAGTTCTCTAACTGCTGCTCATGCAGAAGGCCTGACTTTTTTCTTTAGTGCTAAGATTGTAGATGGGATTTTGATTTCAAACTGCAAATTTATTTAAATCCCAGGGTCTCACTTGCCTTCAGCAGGAATTATCCCTTGAATAAGCCCTGAGTCTGAGTCCTGAGTAGCTCCCTCTTGTCTTTTTGGCTATGCTGGACTCGTGGCATCTCTCTGCTCCTTTCTTTCCCTGTCCTGGAGAACACACAGGAGAGCACCAGGAACTCTGGCTGGAACAGGCACATGTGAGTGTCTGAGCTGGCATGACATGAGGAGCCAGTTTATGGCCATACTTAGATGACAGTGCCCAGGGATGGATGAACTGGGCTCTGCCAGGCTGGAATAGTGTCTGCCTGCCTGTTAGACAGGAAAAAATATACTGGAAGAACAGAGTTATTGCCTGTGTTACTATCTTTGGTGTAATCTAGTTTGTATGACCATAGAAGGGATAACTCTAGCCTAGGTTTGTTGTGGAAAGCCTGCATGTGCCAGTGATAGCAAAGTGCAGATGACAGAGAAAAACAAGGTTAAACCTTATGTTTTTTTTTCCCTCTCTCTGACCTAGAGAGCAAGAGGGCTGCAGTCTCTCAGCAGTGCAGGGCTGCAGGTAGCTGACCACTGCCACTGCTTGCCTTCACCCAGAGGAGTGTCTTGTCCTATTTCTTGTTGGGGTTCCAACTGAGTGGGGTGGTAACTGCTCATGACCCTCTGGACCTTACCCCTCTCATCCCCAAGACGAGAGCAGTCCAGATCCCCAAAGCCCACCTATTTTTCCAGGGGGCTGGGAGCTGGGCTTGGTGGCCATGGGTGCAGATGGTCCTGAACTTCTCTGTGGGAGGATGTAATGGCAGCCCTGGGAAGATGTCCTTGACTCTTGAGCTTGTCAGAGCTGAAGTGACCCTTTAGCCTCTTTGGGTGTTGACTTGCTCTCCATGTGACAAGCAACTACACTGACACCACTATAAAGTACTCCTAAAATGGGTGGGTTTTGAAGACTTCCCTTTAAGCTAATACTGCCAGCCCTAATTTCCCCTCACGCTCTGCTCCTGTGTGAGTCTCTTCCACCATAGAAAATTCCGTGGGAGAAGAGTTACTGGAAGCTGAGTCCCTGCCGTCACCATTGGTGCTAGGTGAGGAGCTATTTTGACAGCTAATTTCCTGGAACTGCAGTATGAGGCTAAAATATCTTAACACTAATATTTTGACAACTCTCAACATGTTGGTATCTATCAACTTTCCTGTCTTAACTGAACATGTGAAGGAGCCAGAGAAGTTCTTGTCTCTTGCCTAAGTAGAAGCCAACAAAGCCCAAGTGTTTTGTGGGCTGCGTTCTCTTGTGGTGAGGGAGCTGGACCCTTGGCTCCTCCTGGGATCTCAGGGAGATGCACATGGCCCAGAGCAAACTGAGAATGGAAACCCTTTCTGAAGGGTTTCAGAATGCTCACTAACAGTGTAAAAAGCTCTCTGTTAGATGATATCTCATTAGGAACACAAAAGTACTTAATAGCTCTGCTTGTGTAGAACATGAGGATCTTGGTCTGTCTAGCCAAGCAGCTCCCTGCAGGGTTTTTTTTTTTCCCCCCTATCCTCATCCCCATTGGATTCATTCATCTAATAATAGTTCTGTCTTGACTTCAGCTATTCCTGAGAGCACAGGTTTCTCACTAAGAAGACTGGAATCTCTTTCCCAGTGACAGGACAGCCATAGCGATGGATGTCTACTTGATGATTCGCCGTCACAAGACAATGATCTTCACTGAGGCCAAAGAGACAACAACTGTGTATGAGCTGAAAAAGGTGGTGGAGGGAATACTGAAGAGGCCACCGGAGGAGCAGCGGCTCTACAAAGATGACCAGCTGCTGGATGACGATGACAGGACTTTGCTAGACTGTGGCTTGAGCAGCCAAAGCTGCCGTCCTCATGGTCCTGCCACGGTGG